TTATTTTTCTGAAAATATTAGTTAACATAGCTTCACTAATACAAGTCGGAAGTATTAAGTGAAGCTGTGATAACTAGTATCTACAGTTCTTACTCTATTTACAATGCCACAACTCATTATCACCTTAATTGTTGTGACATTGAAATCATGGTTATTTCATCTATTTGAGAAATTTACTTAGTACCCACAGTGTGCAGAATGTTGTTCTAGATTGTGTGGGAGAAGGATGAAAAAAGATAAATAGACACGGTCCCTGGCATCTGAGAATTTAAAATCTAGTGGAAGACAGTACTTTATTTGGAAATCTGTAAAATTTTGACAATTATTCTCCACTTTTGTGTAGGTCTTGCTTGAGCATAGAAGTACTGATGTTAATTTGGAAGGAGAAAATGGAAACACAGCTGTGATGATGGCATGCACCAAAAATAATAGTGAAGCACTGAAGATTTTGGTTTGTATATTTTTCATATCTTTCTGCTTTCTTTATCTTTTTATGAATACCACACGGATTATTATTATTTACAAAAGCTGTTAAGTTTTTCTCCTTAGAAAAACATAAAATACAGAAACTATGTCAGAAAAAAAAGTTGTTCTATGTGTTTTTGTATATGCACTCCCTGCCTTAAGTGGATCTGAGATTGCTTATAGGAGACTAATAGTAAAGCAGTAATGAAAACCATGAGAATTTCAAAGTGAAAAGAAAATATAGGCAGGAAAAATTAAGATGAAACTGGTGGCTAGGATAGAATGCAAAATACAAAGTATAATGGCCTGTATGTTATAAAGATGGTTCGTACACTCGATTCTGAGCTTGTGAATTGTCAAAGGAAAGATGAATATAGTCAGTTCCGGACTTATCGGGCCCATAAAATAAAAGCCAAAAGAAACACAGCCGCTCCTGAAGACCTGAATAAATTATTGCCACGTGTTCCCAAAAACAGTGCTATATGTTTTCCTTATAAACATATGTAAGATATAAAAATGTATCATTCTCTCAGTTTAGTATTTTTTTCCATGTTGTTAAATCACTCTTGTCTACCTTAGTTATTAAACTCCTGGAGTTTCCCACCGTGTTGTGTAGCTACACCCAATTGCATGTGATATCACATCATCCCTGTCCTTTCAAAAAATAACAGATTATCTTAAATGAATTTCAGATTAATTTGTGTGTCTTAAGTTTTCATAACACTTAAGAGTACTGAACCTCCGAATGTGGCCATCACCGTTGCAGAGGTATATAGGCCTTGTAGTTTTCTGTAAGGTGTATGACCAAAGTATTCTGCAGCTACTACTAGTAGATCTTATGCCCACCCTCCCACTTTAGCCACAGAGACCTTGCTATGGTTTGAATTTTTATGTCCCATCCAATATATAAATATATATATATACACACACACTCTATATATATACTATATATATATACAAACACACTATATATATATAGAAACCTAATCACCAAGAAGATGGCATTAGAAGGTGGGGCCTTTGGGAGGTGATTAGGCCATGAGGGGAGAGCCCTCATGAATGGAACTGATTCCCTTATAAAAGAACTATGAGGGAGTGCATTAGCTCCTTTGCCCTTCTGCCATATGGGAACACATAGAAGACGCCACCTATGAGGAATGGGCTCTCACCAGAAACCAGTTCTGCCCGAGTCTTGATTTTGAACTTCCCATCCTGCAGAACTGTAAGCAGTTAATTTATGCTATTTATAAATTACCCAAGCTAAAATATTTTGTCATAGCAGTCTGAATGGACTAAGACAGACCTTACATGCATTTTTAGGTGGGCCTTCAACTGTAGTGATTTAATTTTGTGTCATAATTCAGATTGGTTTGGCAGTTGGTGACACTGCTGAGGTCCAGAAACATGCATCATTGAAGAGGATAGCTATGCAGGTAAGTGCAGTGCTTCCCCACTTATGATAGTGTTATCTTCTGGTAAAGCCACTATAAGTTAAAAATAAGTCAAAAATGGGAATTTTGTAATAAGCCAGTTTTAAATTTATACCACTTACACGTTAGAGTTGGATTGTTTACCCTCCTGATCATGTGGCTGACTGGGTTCTGTGGTTTGCTGCCACTGGCCGGCATCCCAGCAGAGTACCACATACCGCTAGCCCAGAACAGATCAAAGTTTAAAATTTGAAGTATAGATTCTACTGAATGTGTATCACTTTCACACCATCATAAAGTCAAAAAAGCATGAGTTGAACCATCCTAAATTAGGCATTGTCTGCATTACATCTAATTTAAACTTACTGAAATTAACACAATTATAATTACTTCCATTTCTGAGAGCACAGTTATTTAGCATGGATGTTTTCTTAATCCTGAGGAGTCACATCCTGTGTCTGTTTGCATTATACCTGCTGTAATCAAAGATGATGAAAAAATGTCCTAGAATAATTTTAGTAGAGAAATTAAGAAATTGCCTGAGCATCTTTTGTTATGTTAACCTGTGGCCACCCAGGTAGCTAGCTGCTAGATCAAGAGCATCACTGGCATCCTATCCACGCTGTTTAAAGGAGCTTCTTCTGTTTTGTGCAGGGAATCACAAGGTCCCCACAGCATGATTTATGCTGAAGTTTTAACAGAATCTATGTGGTTTTGTTCTCTTGTGACATCTCTCTCATTTTTATGGACAATTTGATGTAAAATTTGGTGTCAAAGTTTCTTGGCTAGGTCCTCAGCTATTGAATGTTGTGAGGTACTTTTCTGTAATACAACACCAAGTTATTTTCCTGTTCTTGACTAGAATGTCTTTAAATTTCAAATTCAAATGGGCATTTTTGATGCTTCAAGGATATTTGGTGACCAGTTGACTATGCGCATTAAGACATTTTGGCCAGTTTGAGAGAGAGAAAAATCATGTTATGATATAACTTTCTATTCATTCTTGTCTCTTCTTCACTTTTATTTGTTGTCACAGTTTTCTTCTCTGTTATTCATTCAGCCATACATTAGCATTTATTTATTGAAAAACAATGTTTCAATACATATAGTATACAAAGGGCAGTACAACTTAGCATGAGAGCCCAGAGGAAACAGAGGGATGTGATCCTTGACTATTAAGTCAACTGTGTCTACTTAGCACACCAGCTAGGCATTGATAAAATGAAATATCAAAAATCAACTGAGAACCATTCTTAAATTCTACACTGCATGACATGGCTGTATATTATGCAGAGATACAGAGCGATCTGAACATTTTGAGAACAAAAACAGTTAAATGATTATCAGGTACAGAAAAAATGCAAAAATAAGGGAATGCTACATGGAGTGGGTGAGATGAGTCAGTGTTGAAAGATGGTTGGGATCTAACAGGACATCAATACCATCCTGAAAGGAGGAGCCAGCAAGAGCAAAGGGCCACATCGGAATGGGGAAAATGGCCAAGGCACTGGCCCAAGGCCCCCTTGCCTGTAAGGATCATTCATGTTAGTGGCTGATTAGATCGTTCCAGATGACGGGGGTTTATTCAAAACTAGCAGAGAAAAACCTTAGCAAAGGGCAGCAAACGATGAAGTGCTTCAAGTTACTTTGTAAGTTAGTGGAGGGTTATTATCAGCTCCTCCACAATGAAAATGGTGTTTATGGTGATCTGCTATTGTCTTGGTTTAGTGGGGAAAGATCGAAGGTAGGAAGAGCTAATGGCAGGTTATTAGTGTCACAAAGATGATGTTTAGGACTCCAGGTATGTCAATATGGAAAGGGGATGTATAAACTTCTTGGTAGGTATGTCAGCAATACCTCATGAATGCCCTAATACCTCTTTAAAATACATTGGGGATAAATAAAAAGAATAATACAAGCAATAGTACAAAATAAAATATCTTGTATTTTTTTTGCACTCAACTGCAGTGCCAGTGGGGTTGAGCTGAAAAGTGCAATGCTATATTTTGTTTACTTTGCTCCCTGAAAGTAAATAGCACAAATCCCAGTACCCCCATGTTATCTGTGCCTTGTTTTGGATCAAAAGCAGCATCAACTGGAAAACCAGGAAGCCATTCTCCTACTTCCCCTGAGTTGTTTCTTAAGCAACTCTCTGCATCCATTCTGAAACCTATGTCTGAGCCCACAGCAGAAGGGGACATGTAGCATGCATTTACTACAGCGTCATTTAATGCTCTCATAGAATCCCCTGAAATGAAAGTGAGAGGTCAGCCCAGCTGCTGTCCAGAAGTCAGGAAGTAGGAATCAGTTTTCATTTTGCTGTACTAATGATTGCCTCTGTGCCATATAAGAATTTCAGATACTAATGATTCTATTAATAAATCCAAAATGCAGTTTAGGTGGAACTTCATACCAGCTTAGAAACAACGCTGTCATGCTGTTGCATACGCAAAGTGGATCGGAAATCCACCACCATATATCCCAACAAACCCAGATGTGGTGGAACATTATTTGTAAGTACACATAACAAATAACATCAATAATCTGACACTACTTGATATCCATTCCTTGTGTTATCCCTAAGGGGGTCATTTTATAGACTTTGAGCCATGTCTGCCAATGAGAAAGAAATAGCTATGCTTTAAAAAAATGAATATGATTAACTTAACATGTGAAAGGACTAAGTGACAGGAGGGTGAAATTTGCCCTCATCTTTTGGGAGGCTCATCCATAGCATCTGTGTTAAATACACACTGTCCCTGTAAGAGTAGATGGGTGGGGGACCAACCTTATCCTTTCAGTATGTTTTATTACAGCAAAGATAAATTACAGCAAAGATATTACAGCAAAGGAAAAACTGTTTTTCCTAGTCACATGTCACTTACATTTCTGTGTAGAAATATATGTGTGTATGTACAGCTAAGTGTTTATAATATACAATAAAGAACACACATTTACACACACACAAACACACACAGTATTAATCCATTTTCACACTGATATAAAGAACTGCCTGAGATTGGGTAGTTTATAAAGGAAAGAGGTTTAATTGACTCGCAGTTCCACATGGCTTGGGAGACCTCAGGAAACTTACGATTATGGTGGAAGGCAAAGGGGAAGCAAGGCAGCTTCTCACAGGCAGCAGGGAGGAGAATGAATGCAGGAGGAACTACCAAACACTTATAAAACCATTAGATCTTGTGAGAATTCACTCACTATCATGAGAACAGCATGAGGGAAACTGCACCTATCATCCAATGACCTTCACTTGGTCTCTGCCTTGACATGTGGGCATTATGGGGATTATAATTCAAGATGAGATTTAGGTGGAAAAACAAACCCTAACCATGTCTTTTCAGCCCTGGCCCCTGTCAAATCTCATGTCCCTTTCACATTTTAAAACAAATAATATCTTCCCAACAGTCCTCCAAAGTCATAATTTATTCCAGCATCAACCCAAAAGTCCAAGTCCAGAGTCTCATCTGAGACAAGGCAAGTCCTTCTGCTTTGGGGCCTGTAAAATCTAAAGCAAATTAGTTACTTTCAAGATACAGTGAGGGTACAGGCATTGGGTAAGAATTCCTGTTTCAAATGGTAGAAATTAACCAAAACGGAGGGGCTACAGGTCCCATGCAAGTCTGATCTGGTTGGGCAGTCATTAAACCTTAAAGTTCCATGCGACTCGGTGTCTCACATCTAGGTCACACTGATGCAAGAGGTAGGCTCCCATAGCCTTGGGCAGCTCCATCCCTAAGGCTTTACAGGTTACAGCACCCCTCCCAGTTGCTTTCACAGGCTGGCATTGAGTGTCTGCAGCTTTTCCAGATACATGGTGCAAGCTGTCAGTGGATCTACCATTCTCTGGTCTGGGGGATGGTGGCCCTCTTCTCCCAGCTCCACTATGCAGTACCCCAGTGGGGACTCGGTGTTGGGGCTCCTACCCCACATTGCCCTTTAGCACTGTCCTAGCAGAAGTTCTTCGTGAGAACTTTGCCTCTGCAGCAAACTTCTGGCTGTACATCCAGGCATTTCCAAACATCATCTGAAATCTAAACGGAGGTTCCCAAACCTCAATTCTTGACTTTATACTCGCAGGCCCAACACAACATGTAAACCTGCCAAGGCTTAGAGCTTGCACCCTCTGAAGTAAAGGTTTGAGCTGTACCTTGGCCCCTTTTAGCCACGAGTGGGTCGTGAGGTACAAAGTTCCAAGACTGCACAAAGCAGCAAGGCCCTGGACCTGGCTCACAAAACTGTGTTTTCCTTCTAGGCCTCTGGGCCTGATTGGAGGTGCTACCATAAAGACCTCTGACATGCCCTGGAAATATTTTCCCCATTGTCTTGGGGATTAACACTTGGCTCTTCATTGCTTATGCAAATTTCTGCAGCTGGCTGGAATTAGTCCCCAGAAAATAGGTTTTTCTTTTCTATCACATTATCAGGCTGCAAATTTTCCAAATTTTTATGCCCGCTTCCCTTTTAAATATGGGTTCCAATTCGAAGCCATCTCTCTGTGGATGCCTAAAACTGAATGCTTTTAAGAGCATGCGGGGCACCTCTTGAATGCTTTACTGCTTCGAAATTTCTTCTGCCAGATACTCTAAATCATCTCTCAAAGTTTCACAGATCTCTAGGGCAGGGGCAACATGCTGACAGTCCCTATGCAAAGCATAGTAAGAAGCACCTTCATTCCAATTCCCAAGTTCCTCATCTCCATCTGAGACCTTCTCAGCCTGGACTTCATTGTCCATATCACTATCAGCATTTTGGTCAAAGTCATTCAATAAGTCCACACTTTTCCACATCTTCTTGTTTTCTATGCCCTCCAAACTGTTCCAACCACTACCTGTTACCCAATTCCAAAGTCACTTCCACATTTTCAGGTATCTTTATGGCAGTACCCCACTCTCCCCAGTACCAATTTACTGTATTAGTCCATTTTCACACTGCTATAAAGAACTGCCTGAGACTGGGTAGTTTATAAAGGGAAGAGGTTTAATTGACACAGTTCCACATGGCTGAGAGGCCTCAGGAAACTTACAGTCATGACAGAGGCAAAGGGGAAGCAAGGCGCCTTCTTCACAAGGTGGCAGGATGGAGAATGAATGCAGGAGGAACTACCAGACACTTATACAACCATCAGATTTCATGGGATCTCACTCACTATCATGAGACCAGTGTGCAGGAAACTGCCCCCGGGATCCAATTACCTCCACCTGGTCTCTCCCTTGACATTTGGAGATAATTAGAATTATGGGGATTATAATTCAGGATGAGATTTGGTTGGGAACAAAAAGCCTAACTGTCTCTCTGTTACACACACACACACACACACACACACACACAGAGAGAGTTGGAATGTTCACTGTAGAAAGTATATAAAGTGATCAAAGACTTAGCAAGACCATTGCATTATAATGGAAGAGGGACCATATAAAGAGCCAGAATTACTGGGTGCTAATTGTAACCATGCCTGGGCTCCCCTCATCTCTATGACTGTTCTTCCTGAGTTCTTTGCAGGTTAATTTCCTTTGTATAGTCATGAAATGATAAATTCACCCTGAATATCAATCTGGGCTCTATTCTAACCCCATACTATCTTCCCATCTGATTTCACAAATGCCCATGGATATAATTACTACCTAAACACAGAATGCTCAGCAACTGATTTCTCTATCCTAGAGCCCACTCTTGATTTTCCAGCCCCTATATCCAGCTGCCTACTTGACATCTCCACTTGCATATCTAAAGGTGCCTCACATTCAGCACATTCAAAACCAAACTTCACTGCTTCCACATTTCATCCTCTCCTTACATATCCCCTACAGGAAAAAAGTGAAAAAGTCCTGGTCCTTTTCTAAAGTTCCTCCTTGCAACAATGTCAGCACCATTCATTAACTTGTGCAAACCAGCCACCCAAGAGTCACCCCTGACCTGTCACCTCCACCTCCTTCCCCCCTCAGTCTGGCCCATTTGACTTTCTGGATGGCCTGTGCAAGTCACCATTTTCTTTTGCTTGGACTCCTAGAATTACCTCATTCTTGGTCATTTCACATCTGCCCTTGACCCTCTCAAGTCAACCTATGGTTTAAAAGATATTAAAGTAAGACAAAATGTATTAAAATAACATTTCAGAAATTTCTCCAGGTGAAACTTCATTGATTGGTTGAGTTGTATTGGATAATGTGCAGTACAGTTTTAGATAATTAACAATTAATCTCTTATGGAATACCACCTTTCATGATGGGCATTTCTCATAAAAATGCATACAACAATTCAGCTAAGCCCCTTTCTAAACAATTTCCTACCTTAATTTACTCCTTTTCTATTTGTACATTTTTTCCTCTGATAAAACGTATTACTTCATTTCATAGCTCGTTCTTCACATGCCTGTTTCTCGCAGCAGATTCCACAATCTGCTCCTTGAGAGTGTAGCTGTGCTTTATGCATATTTGTGCCAGTGGTGGTTGAATTTTGGCACATGCTTAAGAAAAATTTCCTGAATTGAATTCAATTTTAGTACCTATTATTTTTTAATCCCACAGAGTCTATTCTATTTTTTATTTTCCACTCAAGAAATAAGACAAGAAATACCAAATGCTAATACATCTCTAGAAATTGAAATATTAAAGCAGAAATACCAGTACACATTTTTCCTTCTCTCTGAACTTGAGAAACTTAAAACTCATAAATAATACTGTACAGTATAAGGTTATATTTTATATTTTATATTGGTTTTTATTTATTTTATATATATTAAGACATGCTTTATTGATGGCTGTAGGTAGTGTATTGAGAGTCATGAGGCATTTTTGAGAACCAACAACTTATCTGCTACTATCACCAGGTTGCCTTCCAATAATAAGTGAATAAAAATTGAAATTCTGATTTCCTTTCTTTTGGAGGCAGTATCATAAACTGTATTTTTCATCTGAATTCATAAAGCAAACCTCTGAAAGCTTTTGAAGATCTTTGGAGTAACTATGTGGTGGGTGGTAATTAAACCTGAGGATTTTACTGTTAGTTTACCTGAGTTCAAACCCCTATTCAACTATTTACTTAGTAACTGTGACCCTGCGCAAGCTGCTTAACCTTTTCCTATAATAGTTTCTTATCTGTAAACTGGGAACAAAAATAAACTAGCCATGAACTAAGTTCTTTGCATCTTTCCAAAACAAAGAACCATTGGTCATGGTAGAATGTGATTTTTTAAAACTTATTAAAGTACATCTAAGAAACATTTAATGTTAAAAATCATTTAGCCAGAACATGCAGCTGATGCTGGCTCAAGGTCTGGGAGCTGGAGCCAGTGACTCCAGGACGCAGGAGACTCAGGTGCCCAGCTTAATATTGAACCTGGGTTCAAGATCCACCATGCCAGTAAGGGGAAATTACAAGAATTGGGAGCTGAAAAACTTCCTGATGACATGGTGAAAATTTCCCCACTGAAACTACTCTTGGCTGAAGTTACGTTATGATCAAAGATGTTAGACTTCAGACTTAGGGTACAGTTGTTGAAGTTACAGTTCAGTGAAGTTGTTTAACCTATTATGAACCCACAGAGTGAACTGAACTGGGCTGCTTCCTAGAACCTGAAGCAATTTGTCTTGTCATTTGGCTCTGATTTTGCTTGTTAGTTTTAGTGAAGTGATGGCAGAAGACAGAAGACAGGAAGATGTGGGCTACCCCTTGTCATTTCCAGCTCCAGACCCTGGAACAAAAGGAGTCCAGCATTTTCACAGGTATCCGGGGTAAAAGGAGATATGATCCTGAACTGCCCATCAGGAAACCGCCGAGGGAAGAAGCGCCCTCTAGGGGTGTGATTGATATTGAACTGGAACCAGAAGACCTCATTGACTGAGACCTCCATTGTGTGCAGGAGGATCTCTCATCTCAGGAAAACCTACAGTGATGTTACCTGTGGTGCTGCTCCTCTTTCTTTTGAGACTTATTGGGCATCTGCAAGTTCAAAGGCAGGTGGTGGTACTTATTTAAAGGTTTCAATGTTAATTGCCACGGAATAAGATAGGCTGCCAATACATAGATACACAAATCAGGTGTATAAAGCAGTACGGTAGTCCTCCCTTATCCCCCGTTTCTCTTTATGAAGTTTCAGTTATCCGTGGTCAACCACAATCAGAAAATAGGTGGGTACAGTACAGTAAGATATTTTAAGAGAGAGCAAGACACTACAGTCACATAAACTTTATTACAACATATAGTTATATAATTGCTCTATTTTATTATTAGGTATTATCTTCTCTTTTGCCAAATTTGTAAATTAAACTTTATTATAAATATGTATTTTTAGCACAAAAACATAGTATATGTAGGGTTCAATACTATGTACGATTTCAGACATCCACTGGGGATCTTGGAATGTATCCCCCACAGAGAAGGGGAGGTCTACTATACTTTTATGTGAATCAGAAGTAGTTAGCAGCTTACAGGAGACATAATCCCCTTTCCAGAACCAAGACTGAAAAAAATAAGTATTGAGGGATAAAACTCTCAGAAAATAAAGTTATCAGGGGTAATTTAGGTTGTTTTAAAAACTGATGGAGAAGAGGATGAAGAGAATGGAGATTATGGCTCATGGGAAGAAATGTCTGGGCATGTGTCAATTACCAGCAAAACTTGAAAGGAAAACCTCACCTGCACCTTCTAAATTAGATTACAGCAATCTAATTTTGAAGCAATGCCAAACTCAGGTATCTGTTGGAATAGCAACCAGCTCTTCTAGAGTCCCACAGGAACAGTTGCTCCCAAACTCACATTTCTCAACAAAAACTACTGCAGGTGTATTCCAGAGGCAAAGCAGGCATCTTCAGTTAAAGACTTTCACAAGAGAAAAAAATGTGGGGAAAAATTAAATGGCTCAGCAAAGGCAGTTTGTTTTTCTGTCTACAAGTCAACTTAGTAATGGCAAACCCCCTGTAAATCAGTGGAGATCCATACACCTTGCAGATGCAGATCATTGATTCTGAAGAAATCAAAACCATGTAAGGCAAGGCACAGTGGCTCACCCCTATAATTTCAACAGTTTGAGAGGCCAAGGTGGGAAGATTGCTTGAGTTCAGGAGTTCAACACCAGCCTGGGCAAAAGAATGAGACCCCATCTCTGCAAACAATAAAACATTAGTTTGTCATGGTGGCATGCACCTGTAGTCCCAGCTACTTAGGAGGCTGAAGTAGGAGGATCACTTGAGCTTGGTGGTGTCAAGGCTGCAGTGAGCTGTGACTGCACCACTGCACTCCAGCATGAACAAAAGAATAAGACCTTGTCTTAAAAATAAATAAAGAAAAATCATAAACTGTCTAAAGAATGCATAATGAAAATAAGCCAGAAACTGGGGTTCAAGACAGCAGGTATCTGTACTTTCAGGATACCATAGGCAGACACAAAACCTTTTACAATCCAACAAACCTTCAAGCATCAAGTTTCTGTGATGCTGTATAGTATCCACAGTACTTGAGATACAGGTTATCTGTCCTGTAAAGAAATGAAAGCAGTAAGCCAAACTGCAGTCTTCAACAAGGGAATCAAAGTCTCTTCCACTCCCGCAACCTCTTATCAGCAGGCAGCTTGATGACCCAGATGGTTGCCTTTCAACTCCTGAGTGTGGTAAAGAAACCAGAAAACTCTTGAGAGCTATAATACTGAATTGTAAAAATGTGTGCATTTGCCACCATCTTGTATCACTTTGAAAGCTTTCCCAATTATAAATATGCTAAATTCACCCAAATTTAAATAAGATGGAAAATGTATTAAACCAAATATATTTGCACAGGGCAAACTCCAAAATTTGAGCTCAACCCAAGAGGCCATTTGGGTTCTTGGCTTGGTACCTGTGTTTCTCCAGCAGTGGCTGTTCTCTGCTGGTGCCTTGTCCTAGCAGACTCTTCTCTCCTAGTTCCTTGGCAACAGTGTTCTAACCACCTTTGTGGGTCACACAGTTCCTAAGTGTGGAGCTGGGATTAGGCTAATGGAGGTGTGATAAGACTCTCCCACAATGTATCTATCAATGATTCACTTCTACTTATTATAACTTGACAACATATTTTGATAACTTATTGAAAGCAAACATGTTAATAACTCATGACTTCAAGAGCAAGCCAATGCAGTGAAAGCAAGTTTCTTAAAAAGTAAAGAAATAAAAGAGTGGATACTCCATAGGCAGAGTTATTGGAGCTATTGATTGGCCATTTTTATGGTTATTTCTTGATCATATGATAAATAAGGGTGGATTTTTCATGAATTTCCTGGGAAAGAGGCATGAAGTTCTTTAAACTGGAGGCTTCTCCCACATAAAGACCATATAGGTTAACTTCCAGCCATTGCTATGGCATTTGTAAAGTGTCATGGCACTGGTGAGAGTATCCTTTAGTATGCTAATATAATTAGCATATAATGAGCAGTGAGGATGACCAGAAGTCACTTCTGTTGCCATGTTGGTTTTGGTGGATTTTTGCTGGTTTCTTTACTGCATCCTGTTTTATCAGTGAGCTCTTCGTGATCTGTATCTTGTGAAACCCAGTCCTGCTGAACTCCTGTCTCATTCCCAAGTATAAAACCTAGCTGTGCCTCTCAAACCAGCAGTTATAGCACCACAGTCTAGTGGCCAGCTCTGCCATTCCTTCTCAGTTGATAAGATAATGAAGTGACCCTTCACTTATCCAAATTACTGTAAACTTAACACTCAGTGTACAAGATCTGACCGTACCTTTTAACATTCTTTGTTTCTATGCTGCCACATCAGTCCTTGAAATGAACATGACACAAGCCCATAAAGGACATTGTCAGTAATTAACCAGCCTAAGGATCAGAAATTTTGAAAGTTTCCCTCAACTAGTGAATGACAACACACAGAGCTTTATCAAACCTTTGAAATGTGGAACATGTTAATTTCACATTATGAAGTATATTTTTCAAAATTTTTCAACGTGTTCTGCTTTTTAAGTGGCTTCTATATTAGTTTAACTGTAAAGAAAAGTTGATGAGAGATAAAGTTAAATTCTGTTTAAAATTTTTGAGCTATGTTTGATATTGCCATTTTAAATCTTAGCATTTATAATGAGAATCATCAAAATGTAGTGATTTCCTTGTTACTAAGGATAACAACACTGGACTTCATTGATGTTCTTTGCAAGTGGAGATTCCATCAAGGTGAGTGTCTCTGAAAAAGCTGGATTGCTGCTTTGAGTTTTCCCCAAGAAAATTCAGTTACCATATGCCAGTTTGGAAACAGAATAAAACAAAGCTCCAAAGTGCCAAGTGGCTTAAAGTAATTATTCCATTCTACTTTTTGCTAAGTTTTTTTTAACTGAAAAAGTGTTAGGGTCAATAGATCGAAAAGGTGGGATAGGCCTTTCAAGTTTGGCACAGTTTTGCTGCTTGGATACAGTGATTTTTAAGACTCAGGTTCTTCACTGCTTGGAAAAGACGAATGGGAAAGAAATCAGGATGGGGGTGTTTGATTAAATTATTTAGAATGGCAATTAACAAGACAAGTATATGTTTTAAATGTTTTCATTTATTATTATAATTTGGATTTAAATAAATATTTTTTGGAAATAATTTTCAAGAAAAAATGTATGCATATACATACATAAAGTATCAGAAAATAGTAATTAGCTGCAAAATTTCAGCTTACAGGGATGACTAAATATATTTTTACGGTTTGAAAAAAACATTCGAGGAACTATTTACAAGTGAGTGTACAGAGAGTTATTACTATAGACACCTTTGGAAATGTAAAAATCTGGCTTAAAAAGTACATTTTAAGTGACAGAGTACAATGTTACACAAATCAGATGGATGAATAGCAATCTAGAAATATATACTTGAGATGTGCTAATATAGAGTTTTATCTGTTATTAAAACTTTTTATTAAGACAAAAAGTATCAGATGCTTTCTAAACAACGAATGTATTAATATAGGAGTTAAAAAGAAGTTATTTAGGCAGACAGTTAGAGCAAGGAAGTCCTCGGTATGGTTTTCCTTTTAATAAGAAGCAGTCCTAAAATTATTTTCCTTTCTGACAAAGATCAGCCTTTAAAATCAAGCTGCAGACATAGTAAGGCAAGCTAGAAGCTTGCACTGGTAAATGTCAGCAGCTGAATCAATAGGAAAGTGGCTATCTGGGGGCTAGACATGTTCAACATTGCGGCTCAGTCTTCCCTTTTCTTTGCCAACCACATGTACAGTAAGGAGAAGATAATATGGCTCTGGCCAACTAGAGACTCCATTTGCATAATAAAAGATGAGAATGGGGTGGCCAGCTTCTTTGTGTGGTATGTAAACTTCACACCTGGTCCAACCAATCTTTGGGCCCTCCGTAAATCAGACACCACCTCCTCAAGTCAGTCTACAAAATCTGGTGCAATTTGCTACGGGCTGGACGTCCCACATGTCCCACACAGGTGCCCCTCTCTCTCTCTGCAGGAGAGAGAGCTATTCTCCTTTCCCTTTCTTTTGCCTATTAAACCTCCACTCCTAAACTCACTTCTTGTGTGTCTGTGCACTCAATTTCCTTGGCGCGAGACAACGAACCTCAGGTATTTACCCTGGACTCTGACGCTCCAACATCACTTCGTATCCCTGACTTAAACAAACAAACAAAAAAACAAAATAAAAAATCACTAAGCGGCTATCATAACCTTCAAAGGAAAAGCCTTAAAACAATGTAAACAAAAATATCCTTCCAGGTGAACCTTGCATGTAAATCTTCTGAGAGTCTGTTCTAGACCAAGGTTTCAATTCTGCACCAATAATGCTTGTGACCCACAGAATTCCCAGCTGGATTTAGCTTGTCTTCACTGAACGTTTTTAGCAAAAGGCAAACCCCCTGTTCTTCTGGTGCCATGTGAGTATATTTTGGCTATTCATTTTTCATCATAATGAGGCTCACTATTTGACATGAATGACAATTCTACCAGATAAGACAAGAGCAATACAAAACAGGGCAGAAGCATGAAGAAAAGAATATTTCCTAAGGTTCCGTTGAGCACTACATAGTTGTTTTATGATATTTTAAATTATATTTTTACCTGACCATGCCCAAAGCCAAGCTTTGTTACAAGAAACACCTATAAATACTAATCAATGAATGTTACAACAGACAAGGAACGCAGTCGCATGAATGTGTTATGACACAGGGTACGTATGACACAGGGTAGTCTCGCTTTTATCTCTTATGTTTACGGGAAGATGACTAACCCATTCATAAATTATCACTGTTTACATTTCAAAGACCAGGCCAGCCGCTCTGTAACTATAGGTTAATCTTCAGCAT